AGAAAATGGTAACATCAAAATAAAACCGTAGAACTGCTGTTAAAGGAAAAGGAAGAAAATCAAACTGACAAGGGGTTAAACAGAGAACTAAAGTAGAGATCGCAAACATCAAAACTATTCAACCCTGATGGAATATGATAATCTAATAATGGCAGCTACATATAGGTGCGTAAGGGGAGTAGGAAAGGGATACAGTCATAGTTAACGTTTCAATTAGTGATGACGTTACGGAATTGCAAAAGGTGAAAAACATCTTTGAATCTCTCACACAAGTCCATGCTGTAAATCATAAAGGAACAGAAAGAAACATCACAGTTATGACCTGTTGTCACCTTCTTACGATTGATATAGGCAGCACAATAATAATTTTACTTCGGCAAGTCTTTCCCTCCATCTTATTTTTCACATTTTGTACATAATAATAATAACAATAATAATAATAATAATAATAATAATAATAATAATAATAATAATAATAATAATAATAATAATAATAATAATAATAATAATAATATAAAAAAATAATTATAATAACAACAATAATATTATATTAAACTCATTACATTTAAGGCCACCCTCGCATGCGCTGACACACGGCCGAACACACATCACTCTCGCTGAGACAATTATGGCATTTGAAAGCATGACCGGGCAGCGAAATGGGAGAACAAGCGAAAATACAGTGAATGTACAGTTCATTTCTATTTGATCTTAAACTCATGAGAGGTAATAATATTATTTTTTCCTCTGTTTCTGAAAATCACGAGGTCAAGTTTTACGAGAAAACATATGATTTTAAAAATATTTTTCCTTCGGTTTCTAACGATCACGAAGTCAAATTCTACATTCCTTTTTTTGAAATGGCGTGGAAACCGCCTGGATTCGTAAGTGTTACGCCCTCATTAACATAAGTAGATTATTTGAGAGGTGACCTGTTTGAAAACATTGATTGTGAAAGAAAAGCTACGTTCTAATGGATAAATGGCTGTAGAAAGATGGGACAAAAGTTTGGGTAAGGCTAAACGATACTTAGTTTGCATTTCGCAAATTACACCACGAGGCTGCTTTTCAGAGATCATAAATTCTTCTTTTCTGTTGCTGTTCAGTTGTAGTTGAGCTGTGAGCGCCAATACGGCTACACCTTGCAAGGGATGAGCCAGAACAATAATTACCCAGGAAAAGAAAAAAGGAGCAAAACACACACACACTTGCATGTCATCTACCAATCGTTTACCGCGAATTCATTCCCCCTTCCTGCCCACTACAAGTAGCAGGTGGTTGGCGAGTGCTGTGGTGTGGTTTACTCCTTTTTTCCTATCGAAACATACGTCATCCTTGTATCTCTTCCCTTTTTGTATGTTAATCCCCAGTAACACATTTAATTTTCAGCAACTATATGGCCTGTTTGTGTTGTAAGTGCCGTAAAAACTCTTACCAAAATTCCAATATTCGTGACCACAAAGCATTATTAGCGCTGATAGATCTACCACAGCACACAAATACATGTTATCTTTCTTTTCGGATCTCTTTTAAGGCTACAACTTCATATTTTCCCTTTTTAATTTCATACATGAAATCAGAGAGGAACTTCGACTTATGACTATTTCTCCTTCGATAAACGAAAGAAAAATACATTTTCATCCCCCAGACTTTCCTTAAAGGAGTGTCATGTTGCGCCGTAAGCTTAGAAGCTAATCCTCTACTCCCCCTGCTATTTTTAAGCTGTACCAAAGATTTGATGTCACAGTCGCAAATGAAAACTCTCAATCACCCCTGTTTCATTAAAGATTAAAAACTAAGTTTTTTTTTTACAAAACATAGCTCGAGGCATAAGAAAAGACGATGATCCTTGTCGCGCGAAAAACTTCCTTGTATGTAAACCATGAAACGAAGTATGATCGTCATGGGTTTTAAACACCCACATTGGCAAAATAGCGTGTAGTTTCAAACTACAAGGCTAAAATGCCTTCGAATCAATTTAAAACTGCCCTGGGGAATTTCGCTGCGTGCGTGATTAACTGTGACGTTATCCAGGCAGATCCCATTTATTTCGTCACTGAGATGGGAATGTTCATTTTTAAAGAATGTATTGGGTTAAAAATTGCGTCATGCCTGAATTTGACAGAAGATGTGACAGAAGACAGTAGAGCCTAATACGAGAGTGAGAGGTTGGAAAAATTACCTCCCCTCCCCCAAAGACCCCCCCTCCACCCCCCACAAAAACCCCCAACAACAACACCCCCCCAAAAAAACAAAAACAAACAACAACCCCAAAAACAACAACAACCCTGCTTTAGTAGCACAGTCAACTTGTTCTCAAACAAAACCTTGAACAATTTAACTTCAACCAAAGAACTTTTTTTCTTATTTGCGTTTTTTTTTCAATCTGACGAGTGAAGAACATAAAAGGAACTTAAAAGATGCAGATCTAGATGTACGCAATGATTAGAACTTTTAAAAACTAAAAATAAGCTTGACATAGGTTATGAAAAAAGGCGCCGAAACAAAGCAAAACGAAACAAAAAAGTGTTGAGACATTTTGCGTAGAGCAGCTGAATTACTCTACTAAAATCCCCACCAATAAATCCACAAGATCACCTGGCGCGTAAATTGCGGATAGTAGACGTCTAACTGAAACGATATCTATTGCAATGGATTTCATTGCTCTGGATACTTGTTGCAATGGATATTTATTGCTATGGATACTCATTGCAATGGATACTCATTGCAATGGATACTTATGCAAGGTATATTTATGCATTTAACGTGGCAGTGCCCCCGACAAGACTAAGGTAACGTGGGGAAAAATAAACTCCCAGAACTTAACAAATTGACAAAAGGATAAATGTAATAACGTTCAGCCTTAATGTGTCTCGTGCGTTTGGAACTTTTGCAGGAAATTGAGCGTCCTGCAAGACTTTACCCATTTTTTTCCTGCCCACGGCATTCGTTGCATGTACTGTCTTTTAATTCATCACAAAAGCTCACAATCTTGTCATCACAAGTGCTACTCTCAGTTCTTTGAACTATTTTGGGGAACTCTGAGCTGTCCTGTTTGACTGCTCACTTTGGGTGCTACTGTCCAAATCGTTCATGATTTCTAGTCGAGTGAAAGGGACGCTAATCTTCCTCAAAGCTCCCTTTTCATCGCTAGTGCCTTGCCCCGAATCTGTGGACGACGCACTGGCATTGCTCTGCTGTGAGCTCTGGCGGTTGTACGCTTCATCGGAAATGGTAAATTCAGTCACGTGCTGCACATCGCTTCCGCTTTGCTTGTGCTGCTGCTGCTCTTCCCCCGGGCACGATTGAAAGCCCAGAGAAACGGTGGACATACGCTGCGACTGATTCTTGCTTATGTTGTTCACCGTGCATTCTTCAGAGGCTGAGATCTGAGATTCCGAGGTTCCAGTATTGTTCAAGATGCTCTCTTCACAATCATTACTATAGACTTCGGCTGGCGTCAAAGTAATCACGCAGACTTCAGGTTTGTGGCCGGCGCCCCTAGACGTCTGGCAATCTTTGTCTACGAGAATTTCCGGAGATGAAGGGGTTTTGCCGTTATTCCTCACCGATCCGACAGATGAGATACGTTCGTTCGTGTGGTTATCCCGATGCTCCTTGAGGGTGGCGAGAGATGGTTTCTTCAGGCTCATGCAAACTTCGCTGTCTGTACACACACGCTCCATGTCGATTCGGATCTCTTTGTCGTTGTAATCTTCTTGCTGGATGTGACCCTGGGGACAAGATAGAATCAGTATGATAAGATACGATAAAACGAACGTCATTATGTTTCAAATGCAAATTGAAAAAACCCCCACATGTCATCCCCAATTTTTGCAACACAAAAAACAATAACAAATCCAAAAGTTAAACCGCTACACCAAAAAATTAGCTCTGATAAGATTGCACTGTGTCGGCATCTGGTTTAGTGGGGTAAGTGCCATTATAAACGAACTTATCTCACAAGACCAGCAACAGATCTGGAAAGTGACAACTCTTTGTTTTACAAAGAGTTTTACGCGCTTACAACACAATTAAACAGTTCACACAATTGTCTAAGATTAAAGGCCGGGTGGTTGGAGGGCGCCACTGGTAGGTTTTACTTCATATCTTTACATCTGCTATATCTGTCTACCTGTCTTACTTTTTCTCACACTTAATGACCACTACTGTGTCAATGTTCTTCAAACAAAGTAAGTGTTTTACGGCATTGGCGTCTATCAACACAATAAGGTCATATTAGTGCAGAAGATTAGAGGTGTTACAAGAGAACAACAAACATAACAATCAGGAGGAGAGCAAAGGACGATAGACGATTGATAGACAAGAAGGAGCGAACTGCGCCCGAGCAACCGCCAACCAGCCACTACGAGACGTAGATTAGAGGTGTTTCTAGAGCGTAACATGCCAACAAAATAAAAGTAGGAGAGAAAAGAACGATTGGTGTCTGTTAAAGAAGGAGCAAACCACACGACAGAACCCGTCAACCACCCACATTGGAAACTCTGAAAGGAAGACGAAGGAGCAGCAAGGACCACATGATGTACCAGCCACACTCCGGTTTCCAGCTGCGCTCTCCAATCCAAGAACGGGACATAATTTGACAATAACAATTACCTCCCTCAGGAACAGAGTTCGCCAAGTAGTTACCTTTTCACTCCCGTTATAGATTGGGTTCATTTTGTTGTTTTTGTCCGCCTCGAACCCGCTGTTGCTGATGCCGTTGCTCACCACGGCAGTGGGGTTAAAGTTCACGGTCCGCCGGAGGTTGTCGGAGTACCAGCTGGGCCGGCGTCCAGGCTCCAGGAAGATGCTGTTTCTGCGCATGTCCATGCTGGGAGCCAGGGATGCCCTTCTGTCCATCAAGGATTTTGCTGTAGAAGCTGACCTCTCCTCCTGGTTAGAGTGAATTGTGGAAGGTTTGGTTATGATTTACTGTTTGTTAGGATAAGAGAGAAAACGTCATAACGGTTTCGGCTATTTTGTTTGAATGAAGTGGG